TTTTTTTTGCTAGTAAAGAATTTTTGAAACTCAATTTGAAAAATTTGGCGGCAGACATATGGACCATCCAGAATTTTTCAGGGTTGGTTGCATACTGGTGATATCGGCGAATGGTTACCAAATGGTGCGTTGAAGATAATCGACAGGAAAAACGCTCTTTTCAAATTAGCACAAGGTGATTTTGTGTCGCCTGAACAAATCGAAACCGTCTACCTCAATTCTCAACTAGTCGTGCAGGTAAAAGGTCATAGTTGAGTAGCTGATGCCATTTATCTTAACAAAATTCCAGATATTTGTCACTGGAATGACCACTCGTTCATTTTTAGTAGCTGTTGCAGTGGCTAATATTGCAAATCTTCGAGAGGCTCTTGAATCAAGGAGTGATGTGAGTTTTCGGTTGTGCGCAAGAACTTTTACATTACGTGATTTTCTAATAAAGTCCGTAATTCAGTTGGCGCGATACGCTGAGCTACCCTTGGAAAGAATGCTGAATGAATCTGAGGTACGAAGATTCGTTCTTCAAGAGCTCAACCGAACCGGTAGGGAAAAAGGACTGCGTTCAATCGAACTAGTCAAAAGCGTATACCTAATCTCAGAGGTAAGTAGACTACTTATAAAATTTCTTTCAAATGAACTGATTTTTCAGGAACTAACACCAGAGAATGGTCTAGTCACGCCAACATTGAAGCTTCGGCGACACCTCCTGAAGGAAAAGTTTTCCAAAGAGATAGAACGAATGTTTGCTGAGGAGGCAGTTTTATGATATTTATGCATAATGGTCGATAATTTCTGATAGCTTTTTAGCGGAAATTAAGATGTATAATACAGCTTTTATGAATACTGGTGCTTTTCATGTCAATTCCATCGCAGTTAGCGACACAAAAAAGAGAAACTCTCATTAGTCGCAGTGGTCCTATTATACTTCTTCGTATTTCTCTGAAAAAGTCAAGGAACTGCAACAAATTCATATTTAACAAAAATGAGGAAGGGCGAAGGGAACCATAAGACATGTTCACTCATTAACATCGCAATGTTGCAGTCCTTCTCAAAACAATCCAAGAGCTACTTGCATATATTAGGTGGTTCCATA